CCCACCCCCCCCCGCGCGCGCGTATCGCTGTTCTCGAAACCACCCGATCATATCAACGACGACCGCAGGGGATGGGCTTCCTCTACGTGGCGTCGGGTCCCATGGTGCGCTCCAGCTACAAGGCCGGCGAGTTCTTCCTCAAGACGGTCATCGAGCAGCGGAGAGCTGGGGGAGAAAATGCAGCTAGCGTTAACACTGCTAGCGGCGGCGAGGGCGCGGAAACAGCACATCATCAGAGCCAAGAGTCGGAGGTTGACGGTGTGGTTGTGACAGCCTCCTCCGCGTAATAGTTGTCGTTTCTATGCGAGGGTCTTCTCTTCCGACTTCCTTGGGGTCTTCGGAAGCGGTACTAGGGTTCTAGGTGACAAAACAGCAGTATCTGTGGACATGTTATTGTGGCGTTGACCGTTGTTGTGCGTGTAAAGGAGGAACAATCTCTACACCATAGCGAAAATGCCGACACATGGGACTCGGCAGAAAATTACAGCAACACTAGTGTGCTAGGCGTTCCTCTGTTCGGAGAAGTAAATCACATGGGATCAGCAAGGGTGTTTAATTGTCAGTGAAGCTTCGTGGTTGTGCATGGTGCACGAAGCAGGCAGTTTTCCCAAGTCTGCCCCCCCCCCGCCATCGAAAGAACCCGCGATGGATGTATGTACAAGTTTGTCCGTCTGTGCATGTGTGTGTTTTTTTTCGTGTGTTTGTGTGTGTTTCCCCGCATTTCGGTGTTCGTTGGTGCTCACCGCTCTTTGCTTCCACGAGGGGAAAAAAGCACGTGAATAAGACCAGTGCTGCCGCAAGCTTGCCTGTCAGCTGCTAGTGGTTTTCGAGACATTGCTGTCTTGTCCGTCCCCGCTTGTGGTGGGCACCGAACAAGCGTGTTTGATTTCTTCTCTCTTGGTTTGTCGCTGAGGGGCGGGACCCCCGACAGAATACAAGGGATTTCTTTTGTCGTGTTTACCGTAGGACATTCCCTTCCGCATGCCGTCGCAGAGAAGAAGACACAAGACTCTTGAGTGCGTGTGGGCTATGGCTGTACCGGGGAAGAAGAGGGCCACGGCAGGCAGTGGTCTCGAGTCGGTCTTGGCTCATACAGATGGTGTTGTGTTCGCGGCGAAGTTTTATGAGCTCGCGCTGTGCGGGAACGAATTAAGGAGTTACGACAAGATCGGAGACTTTGATGCTGTTCCAATCCGATTACGATTGGTTTCTGCTCCGGAAAAGAAAGCACATCAAACATGTTTTTTTGTCCTGAGTTTACATCTCGGTCAAGCTGAGTAGGCGCGTCGTAGATACCACACCCAGGCGTTGGACCGTAACCCACCCCCTCGAGAGGTGGCCAGCATCAGACAACTATGCATGATTTGAACGATGTAGGGTACCCTTGGGGTTAAGCGCGCTCGATCGCACACCCATTAGACTGTCGCTCCATTGTTCTTTGGACGGCGCAACTCCGCCACCGCCTGGGCACGCTACCGTACGGGCCAAAATCTGTGGTGTCGCTACCGGCCGCGTCCACTCTGTTGTCAAAAGAGAGTAGGGCATGAGCTACACAACGGGTGCACGCAAGCGAACCCTCACCCCCTTCTTGATTGCACCCCTTTGGCATCATGTGACCATGGAGCTTAGGGCTTCGGACCCCCCACCGTGAGTTGAAAGAAACAAGATTACGACGACACGACAGATAAGAGTTGGACAAGCACCCACTCCTCCCGGTGTTTGTTTCGAATCGGCTTCGGATGGACGGGGTGGTCGTGGTGCTTTGCATGCCACCGCATAGCGTCGATTTCCAAGCTCGGCTTGCAGTGAGCATCGATCGTTGTTCCCTTCTTCGGTTTGAATTCTGCGCTCATCTCTGCTACAGAAACGTGCGCATGTCCTCACCCTTCCGTGGGTTGAACCGTGGCACGGACGACTGGTCTTACAGATTCGAGGTGAATCATCGGAGAAGTTGCGAACGCTTTTCTTATAAAAGGCGCCATCCGCAACTGACCGTCATGATTTTTTTTTGGGGGGGGAGTGATGAAACATCCCCGGCTCAAGTTTTTTTTTGTACTGTTTTTGGCCGGGTTTCAACTCAGATTCCGTTTTTAACCCAGGGAATTCGAAAATCGCAAAACCCCGGGGATGGTCCCGAAAAATCCCCGCTTTACAAAAGTGGTCAAATCGATCTAGAAATTTTGGGGTGGGGATTACGACTCCGTGGTCTTTTTTTCAATTACATTTTGGTCTTGAGCTACAGGCACATATTTGGCAGCATCTCGCTCTGAAGAAATCAAACTATTCAAAGTTTTGTTCACATCTTCTCGGGTACCCCCCGCCCCCCACACCCCCAAGTTGTACCTCAAATGGGCGTTGAACCCCACCTACTGCTCCAGAAGCAAATACAAGAAGCACACTTAAAAACCAGCCCACCGCCCGAAACGGGCAAAAATATTGGGCTCTTCCTTCCTACCACGCTCTTCCCAAATCTTTGACGCAGCAGCAGATTCGCATTCTTGCAATTGTGTCCCAGTAATTCTCTTCATCTTGCATTCCTTCCTCCTACTCCCGAACTGGATCCCCCGGGAGTTATCTTCGTCTAGGGGCGCTACTCCAGTGTCCGTGATCACCGTTTCCTTCACTTCGCCCTCCTGCAATGCGGGAACGAGACGTGGGTACGTCTTGCTGACGTAGCACTGCTCATACTCGCAACGCTGGCACGCCGAGCAGAAGCACGACGCCAGCCGAGTCCTGAGCCTGTACGTCCGTTTCACCTTTCTGCAAGTCACGTCTTCCTCCCCCGGCACCGGATCCTGTAATCCAGCCCCCTTACCCTTCCATCTGCTCGCTACTGCACCNCCCCCGCCCGGCTCGGTGAGCTGCCGCCGAGGGTGGCGGTGAACTGTAGGAGACTTACTCGCCTTCCACATGTCGCGCTCAGCTGAGTTGCCATGCTGGCGTGACACCTCATCCGTGTGCCAGTACTGCCTCATCAACTCCAGCAGCTCTTCGCTGGCGGCATTGCTTTGCTTAGCTCGGGGCCAAAACCAGTAGACACCGCGTTTTATCGCCTCGGTTGGATCAAGATCGGACAGCGAATTCTTGGCACGCTCCACCGCGGAGTTGAAGGCGTGCTGGCGAATTCCCAGCGCCTTTGCCCTACGTGCTGCCGACAACGATGGAACCTCGTCTACGCCGTCCACAGGAAAGGCTGCAGCGTTGAGGATCGTTTGCAACGTGCGGCTTCCCTCCTTGGTTCTACGTTGCTTTCGCGTCTGGCCGATTGCTCGCTCCAACGAGGCTGCTGTGCTGACCTTATCTTCCAACCCTCGCAAGCGTTTATGGGTGTCCTTCGCAAACGTCGAGCCGATTTTTTCCAAGTGTTTCAACGCGTTGTCATACCCAATGCTGTCCATGGACGCGAGAAACGTTTCCGTAGACTGCTGGCGCCAGTCGACCGGCGCCGTCTGTGTGCACACATGACGAACGAGGAGGCGGGGGGTACGACGTTGCGCAACGCAATAATACATAAGCGCAAGGCACGACTGATGGGGAGACCATTTGCACACACAAAATTGGGCGCATAGTTTCCGTGGGAGCTGACATAGACGAGCTCTCGCTGTAGAACTACCATGCAACTCGATCCTCTCGGTGGAATCAAAAACCCCTCGGCGCAATTATTCGTGTGTCGGCGAAATTACCGCATGCGTTGATTGATGAGTGCACTGTAAGTAGACCTCGACAACTTATCTGCTGTGCTGTTGATTGACTGAAACCTCTAGCGACATTAGCATCTCACCGGCTCAGCTGGCTGAATTGTCACCACCCTGGATCGGGTTCTCCCGACACCCCGCAAAGCCATGATAACAGGGTCGGCGACGGCGCTATCTGCTGTCCTCCTAACGCTTCCGCTGCTGCTGCCACCACCAGACCGCTGCTGCGCCTTTTGCCACTGCTCGCGCTTGTTCTTGAGGACCTTGTCAGTCAGCTCCTTGGCCTTTTCGCTGACCGCCTCTTCGGTGTTCTTCGCGCAGCCACTCTGTAGGTTTGTGAGTTCCTGTTCTTGTGCTTCGAGTCAACGAGTGTCGCGGTCACCAGCACCCCGCGTTCGGGGACAAGCCTCCAACTGAGCTTGACGACGTGCTTGTCTTTTCCAAGAAGGACTGTGCGTTCACACCTCCCTGGTTTGGTCACAGCCGCCGCTAGTGCAGCTGCCGCTGGCCCAGCTTTGGCTGAGCTCATGATCGAGGCTCTGCCCACCTGAGTGTTGGTCTGAGCAAGTTGCTGAGTGGCTCTACCCCGCCTAAATCGACCAAGCGGAAGCGATTGCCGAGGGGTGAACAGTTCAAAAAAAGTTCGGGAATGCGACGAAAAAAAAAAAAATGAAGGGGTTCCCGAACCAATTGTATTTTGTTCAACTTTTTAGAAGTCGGTGTTGAGGATGTGTCTTATCGACAGATCGACAGAATCAAGATCAGAAATCGAAATCAAAAATCAGTTTAAGTCCTGGAAGAGCAAACGAACATCTGCTGTGATTGGATGGAATAACTTTCCACCTGTCCGTCGGAAGCATTTGGATGGAGACCGCACGGAATCTTCCCATATTCGAACTCAAATAAATGCAAAAACATTAAAATCGATGTCGACTTTTGCGAACAGCGCACGTGGCGGGCTATTGGGTGTTGTTGTTGTTTCTCACATTAGCTCTAAAAAAAAAAAGATTGGGAGCCCGTGGTCTCAAAACCCGGCATATACGACCCCACGAAGAAACAGAAAAAAATAGGGTACAAAAACCACTCGGAAGAGAAACAAAATGATAGAAAGAAAGACCAGCTACCGCACCAAACGAGAAAGAGCGTCGAG